GTACCTGCTGATTGGTCATGATACCCAAATTATTGAAATTGAGGTGAAGAAACTCTGTAGATTGTGTCAATGTGCATATTGAAATCCACATTTTAGTTGTTCATGTACATGTACATGTATGCACTGTATTGTACATGTGACCATGTGCACCTGAAGCACATCACAGACCATTAACCCAGGGATGTGCAACCGCGAGCGGCCCCAGTGCAAACACATGTGCGACCTTGGTCCATGCGTGTTACGGATTGCTATTACCCCTGTAGGTGCTCTCGACTTTCTCGAAAAAAACTCGCGACCACATGACACGCGTTGCAGCATGCAGCATGTACAGTGCAGCCGTGGTTATGCCGAGACACCGCGCTGACGCGGTGCTTAAATCTATTCATTTTGACGAATAAATCTTCATTTATCGTTTTCAAGGAGAACTGAAGTTTTAATGAGGCAAAATTCCCCAATTTGTGGTACACTTTTCTCAGAATGTACAATGTATAGGATGAAATATCTTGAGCAGCATATTTTTAGAAAGGGTGTACCCTGACTTAAAATATTACAAGAAAACAAAGTGGTAGACAGGAATATATGTTTTATTATTAGAGAAAGTGTTACATAATCCAACTTAATTTCTGCTTTGATATTGTGCCAGCCGTAACACGCACTGAACCAGCTCTGAGCTTAAGTTGCACATCCCTGGGTAAATGGTCCGTGAGTACATGTATAAAGAATTGACTATATGTACATGTATAATGCGGTATGCATGTGTACAAGCAATCACAATATGGTACGTTCTCGCTACATGTACTCATACATGTGCACATACATATACAAGCACCGATATATCCTCCCCATGCCAGTTTTGTAATAGCCTTTGCATAAGAAAGACGTGAGTCATGTGCAGGTCAGCGACGAGCTGGTCAGCTTTTTCCTCTTTTCATGCCGCATATTAATGAGTCGTCCAGTGCTGACCCAGATCATGCAGATTGGCCAACATACATCAGCCCAATGGATAGCCTGACCACTGTCGTGACAGGGTTCATCATGCTTGTGGTCCACCTCAACTGACATGCAGTCACAGCGCAGCGAGCGGAATAATGTAATGTTTAGTCTGAGAGATTCACAAATAAAGAAGGGAAAAAAAATGCTGTTTCACTTTATACAGTCAACATGTACTGGTACGCTACTTCCATGTTTTCTTTTTGTGACTGCATACAGTTTACATGTATGCAATTTGTGCTCATTGTAGGTAACATGGATATGTTTTTAAAAAAGAAAACGAAAAATGTTTTGGCCGTATCAGGAAAATGGTACTAAAAATACAGATCTACGGACGCCTGCCACACTACTTGTTTTTTTCTTCTGGCCCGTCATTCCTTTGACAGATGTGGCGTGCTTGCGGTTAGCCAAAATTTGCACGGTGTCTGGTGCGAAAAAGATTGGGAATTCCTTTTGCATATATGAACGTGTATCAATTTTATTGAGTGGCCAGTCAATACAAACAGCAGAATTCCTGTCATAATGAAAATATATGTAGTGTTCCCCAAATCTCAGGTGGGCATTTTTTAAGGCATCAATGAAATCCTAATTCTGGAAGAATATTCTGCTATATACTGGTATATGTGTACAGCATTTCATTTTATTTCAATTTTAAATGTGCCAATAAACCCTTCAAACTTGCATTAAAAAATCATTTTCATTTATTCCCTTGAACTAATATCTTTTAATTTTTATGACTTAAACAACCCTCACTCAAGGTGCTTAAGAATCTTCAGTAGTGCAGGGCCCTAGACACTGTGGGTCTAGATGGCTCAGCACGTGAACATAAAAGTGTGTAGATTGTAGCATTGGCTGTGGGGCTACAGAGCAGGCCTACACATTGCATTTGAGAGGATTCTTGAGTTGCAAATCTTAGCAAGAATGTCGAGTTACTGGATAAGAATTGGTCCATGTGCTTATTATGATGCTTGTTCTGTAGTGGATAGAACTAAAAAGAATGAAGAACACAATACATTTAAAGTGTGACTTGTTTCTTACATTTAGGTCGGGGCGTTCCTGGTGTGTATTTTCAGAGTGTAGAAAAATGAAATGCATGTACATGTATGTGCTGCACAAAACGTTTTTGTATTAATTGAATTTACTTGTATTGCACAGAGGTACATCCGCAGTAAACTTATCACAATAAAGTTGACTTCAGTTAACAATGCAGATTTTATTACACAGCACATTGCAGTGAATTGTAAATCCCAATTCCACGTACTGCACACGCATTCCTTATTCAGTAGGATCCCTGGTACCCATCCTGACAACCTGGTTTGTGCTTTATGGAGGTAGTTGACCTGGGAAGTTACCGGTATCAATGTGCATAACTTACCTGTACTTGTGTAAAGGTCAAGATGGCGTCCACAATTGGAAATACATGTAAGATACTGAAGACAGGGAACAAAGATCATTGACTTTTTGTGTGGAGTTGTAGTGAATTGTACGTTTTCACCTCTAATTGAAGTGAGACCGAGTCCTATCCAGAAGGATGTTGGAAACAGAAATGTAGAAGTTCAGGTTGAAACTCAACCCATAGAATCATTTTCAAGTATGTACCGGTACATGTACCTTATCAAAACAAAACTTGAATATCAGTCATTGAAAGTTACAAGAACGTGTAATTGAATTTAAGGAAACTTGTGTCTGTTCGTATACATGTATTTCACTGTGATCAACTTATGTACACATGGAGATTTGGCAGGCATAATGTACCGTATGTACTGTACATGTATGCTACTGGTATGTACATACATGTACGTACATAGTACCATTCATGTACCGGTATATGTACATTTGTACTTCCACAAGTTGAACACAGCACATGTAGTAAATATATGGATGCAGAACAAGTGTGACAGAGACAAATTTAATGTCTCTCTGCCACCCTCATGAGAAGATAAACCACATGTATGTGTATCTCACGTACAAATGTCCATAAGTGTAAGTTTTATTGTGCAAGTTTATGAACTCAGAAGTTTTCGATCTACATGTAATGCCAAGTCATGCCAGCATTTTATGGAAGAACTGAATGACACTTTTTAATGTTACATGTTTAAGGGATTTTTTTCTTTTTTTTCCCTCATATGTGTAGGGCTCCTTGATGGAAACAATCTCTTCTTGGACTCCTCTCGCTAAGAGGTTTTTTGTACATATACCGGACAGTAGTCCATTACTCTTGTTGAGCCTTTTTCATCTTGCAATCCGGAAGTTTAAAGTTCAATCAACTCCGCCAACAATTTGCGTGGGTGTAGTGTACGTACAATTCACATGTTCCATTCCTTCACCTTTTCTTTTTCTTGTCAGGTAGGGACAGAACAACACTGGCTGTAGTGAAATCCAATCAGGTTATGATATCAGTGTTGTAATCAAGGCATGATGATACTGGATACTTTAATTGAGGGGATGACATGGAGGTACAAGAATAGAGCCTGGATTTGACAATGCATGCCCAGGGATGTTCAGAGGATCTTGAGTGTATAGTGTGGATGGGAATTTAACAGAGAACTATCAATAGATGTTTTGGAAGGTAACTTAATAACACACAGGCTTGTGTGTGATTGTACTCTTTATGGCCACACTAACAAAACAACAAAGGCAGAGTGGTCAGATGGGAGCTAGAGTATGTCATGTAATCAACAAGACAATGATGAACCTATGTAAACGCTCCTAGGATGCTTCAGTTTTAAGTTGTGGAAGGTGTTGTCATTCCCCCATACATGTACAGGTGTTTATTAGCAATGTGGGAAATCCCAAGCATCCTGAAAGGTGTCGCAGTGGTGACACAGTTTGGTTTTTAATCCTCCTGAAGGCAGTGTGTGCATACAGCATGAGTCATTGGTTGATATGGCTGTTGGGAATTATCAGTGCATGATACAGTAATTCAACAAGTGTGTCCAGCTGAACGGCTACACTGATTACAGCAGCTGGACACTGAGTACATCCCTCACATCTGTAGTGGAGTGTGTAAATGGACGTGATGCCCAGTGATTGGCCGTGCAAACTTGCCTTGTCAGCAAATAATAATTACAATCGTTCATTCGGCACTGTTTGAATCACTGCTACGCAGCAGTGCTTTTTGGGTGTACTGTTAGGATAATTTGTCTAGTTATTGTGATTTTTTGTTACTGTAGGCCTACTGAGCTAAAGTTTGAAAGATAACTGACAGTGGTCAATCACTTTCAGGATACTTTTTTTCAATAAAGATTGTTGCTGAAAAACTTGGCAGATCTGATGCCACAATCAGACACATCGATCATCTGTATTCATCTATTTCAGTTAGTTACTTTGTATACTAAAAGTGAATGGCATTTACGATACAAGAAATTTCTGAAGTAAAGAAAAAAGAAAATTATAGATACTGCTGTGTCAGAGTGTCATAACAGTTCTCTTAAGCACATGAAATTTCCAGCTTCAATTGAATTGCAAAAATTGATCGTTGATATTTCTTCTTTGTTATCCATGGAGGCTACGGAGGTGGACTTAAGCAAAAGAATCTCAGTTGAAACCCGAGAAGCAGCTGTTTGGATAAGTTGTAAGATGTCGGGAGAAGAGGAACAGCCAAATTGTGCCCCATTTGACCAGAACATGTCCCAGAACTCGGATGCTGGTCTGAATCTCTCCCAGCCTCTGTCACAAGACACATTCAACCTGCTGTGGTCACAGATCAATGGAATGACAGACAATGGGTAAGCACAATCTGTCAGAAGATAAAGGTGACTTGAATTAATTTACCCCTCCCCCCAGTTTCCATAGTCACTGAAAATCCCACAGAAAAGTTGTCTGGAAGTCACTGAAAATTGGGAAAATAAGCAGCCCTAGAGTCCCCTCCTCAGGGATAAACACATCGTTGGCAAATACCCGGGACAATTTTTCTATTCCTATTGGTCGAAACGTGTCACGTGATGGTATCTTAACATTTGATGATGCCCACTGAGAAGTGATAATGCCCGCTGTGACTAATGCCCTTGCCTGTGGCCTTTGAGCCAGTCTTAAACGCAAGTTTAAGACCGGCCAAGTGCATACCGGTACATGTACATGTATTTAGTCCCTTATGAAAAAGCCGATATAATCACGATGAAGTAACGATTACCAGTATTTTGGGTGGACTACTTTTGATGTGATAATGGTGTAACAAATTTACAGGTTATCCTTCCGGGGGTGTGAAATCTCTGATTCTTAGTGGATTTCCGCTTTTTTGTTGAGTATGCCAAGTTTCAGTTTCCGTTGTTTTGCCACCAACAGGCCAGATTTTCCTTGTTTTTCTTCCTTGTGCAGATGCTGATTTTTTCAGTTTTTTTGTTTTCTACTGACAACCGCCAGGCCAAATTTTGCACGCCCTATCTCCGACATCGAACACGCGCGAATACACAGTACTGGAGCACCGTTATGCACACGATTGAATCTTACATACATACATGTACATGTTCATGTACACACACATGTACAGGTATAGGTATACAAATCTGTTAGGGCATTTTTCGGTGCGCCTCAAAGCGCAAGCCGTGTGTGTTAAACAGCATCCTTGGAACCATCTGGTCATTGTGTTGTCATTGGTTACAAACAAAATTTCAATATTCCTTCCAATAGGCCCTTCAGACTTGGCAAATTACCTTGTTATAACAGGAACCTTGTATTCTCAGGAATGAAAACAATGATAAACAAAGGATAGGGACCTATGATTTTCCTTGTTAGAAGCAGACTCTTGTTTTAACAGTGCTCTTATTAACGAGGTTCAACTGTATCTGTCAGTGGGAATCGATAAAGCCGTTCCTGCATCAGGGCAAGTAGTGACTAACAATTTGCTCTGTAACTCACAGTAGCACACATCCCAGTGTAAATTTGAGGGTTAAAGTAAGTTTGATAAATTTTCGCTTTCGCCAATAAAGGGCTTCGTGATAACTGGCGCAGGGCAGAGTTCTTGTGTCATGCATTATCGCACGGTTTTACATGCTCTACCGGTATGTACATCATTTTATACGAAATATCAAACAATTTTTGGACAAAACTTACCAAAATTTCAGTGCAACACAAGTGCATAATTTTCCATAGAGGCTCTGACTTGGATACAACCAATTTGACAAAGACAGATCATCATGTTACAAATCCACGGAAATGGACGTGGATGGAATACACCGTAGATGGGCAGCACAAGATCCGTGCCCTGAAAATACAAATGCCTGGACACGTACATGTATGCGATGTGCATTCTTTGTAACAAAGAATTGAAATGTGGAAATATCAGGTGGGAAAAGGGCCAACTCACTCTACAAACCTTGACATTTACTAGTTTATTTTAGCTTTCAGGAAGTTTCAGGCAAATGTGAAACAAAAGTTAAATTGAAAATATGCATAAATTACTAGACGAAATGACCAGTGGTTGCACCAGAAGGCTGTAAAATGCACCACAGAGCATTCCGGCACTTGTACAGTACATTTTGAAATTTTGCTGTGGCCCTTAAGCGGACCCTAGACCCCACGCCGTATGCTTCCCGCTTCAAGCTTGTAGTCTCATCTATTTTCACCCATTTTTTTGAATGCTTCACTCGCACCCCTGTCCTCAGTCAGTATCAGCAGCTCTTGCAGTCTTCAAGTTCATAATACCAAACAATTTTTCACTTCATAATGGTGAAATGTCATCGACACTGTTGTATTTTAGTCCTGCAAGGTGCTAAAAAAGAATGGCATTTTCTAAGTGTTCTGCCTCCCCCTCCCAACTCCATAGTCTGGTTCTTGTAGGAACTGCTAAACCCAACTGGGGATATACTGGTGTCATTGAGTGCTGTTCCATGTTTTAGTGCTGAAAGGTTAAATTTTTGGTAATTTAGAATCTCTTTGAAGCATAGTCCCTTAAGGACAGAAGTAGAATCGATTATAAATAAATTCCGGGTTATCAAAGCACTAGATTTGTGGCAAATGCAGTATGCATCAAATCTACTTCATTGTTGCAGAGTCAAAGGAATAAAAATCAAGTGCCCTACATCCGTTATGTGATTCTCCCCTAATATTGCACATGTCTACACACAATAATTACATGCATATTATTAAACATGTGGAAGTGTCGTATTGTTTAAGATACATTTTGTCACTACTCGTACATGTTCACGTATGTCATAACACATCAGCTGTTTGGAGGGCTGTATATACAAATTAACCCAGAATTATTCCGGGTTTGTGCTGGGTAAACTTTACTCAGAACAAATTCTTTTTGCTTCTGCAAATAGGAATCTCATTTCATCCTATGGGGATCCTACATCCTGGAACTTTTCAGAGTTCCAACCTGGGGAAATGATCGAAAACAACATTGATGTGCAGTTACAGCACGTTGAGCTGGCTCCACAAGGCATTGCTCCAGACATTACTAACTTTCCTCAGGTAAGTACCGATACATGCATGTACTCATTTTCACCAGACTTGGGTATGTGATTCAAAATCGATGGTAATTTGAAAAGGTTAAAGAAACATAGAGTGATTCCTTTTTAAAGGGTACTTAACAAAAAAAAAGATACATTCACTTTGAGAAGAGTCAAAGGAACAAAAAGCATGGTAAATGTACCATGCATGTAAGCTCAGGTAGGGCAATAAAGCTTGACTTGTAGGCCTCCAAATGTGCTGGATAGCCCTTGTAAGCATTGCCTTTTGACCTTTCAGCTGCCTTGGATCCTGGCCCAGATTTTATTGAAGTTCAATGACTTTGCAAAAACAGCCAGACTTGCATTCACAATTTCTTACTTTGATTAGTGAATGAATGCTTTCCATGGTGTACAATGTACTTTTCCTTCCTCTTTCATCCATCCTCTGTCTGGAGTCAATCCATCATGTATCTGAAGTTGGTTTCCTTTCCCCAATAGAAAGTGAGCCTAATGGCCTTTGGAATGTTTATTTACATGTATGTACCCGGTATGTTGGTGGTATTGAACATTGTACTGGTAGGATTGTTTGCTGTGGAAAGTATGGTGCCAAGAATGTGTAGAAGATGTATATGTACATGTACATTGTCACCAACAGTATATGTTCACAGAACACAAGTGTCCTCATGTGGACATACATGTACATGTGTCAGGGCACTGATCCTGATATCATTTAATTAATGAATTCATGTATGCTCTGCATTACTAAAGATATTTCAGCAAGATTTCCATTCATTCTGGTGGTCTGTAAAAGCAAAGGTGAGGCCTAGAAGAAATAATTTTCAAAGTCCTTGGGGTTTGCTTGTACATGTAAACCTAGATAGACATGAACTTGTTATGCTTCCATTGTGTCTTTGTGGCTTGTGTTGTTTTGGCCAGATGAACAGCTAGGGAAGGTTACTCCAGTGGTTTAAGAAATCTAGCTTGTATTGCACAATTTATTTGGGATTTCCCCAGGGATATGATGGAGTACAGTAACAAAAATTAGCACTGTTGACACATGTGTAACTTACTGGAGACAGGTTCTTCATATTCTGTTTTTTTTCTGGTTTCTTTTTATTCCTTCATTGTGCCGGGTATACAGCATTTATCAGTTAGCATTAAAAAGTTGTTCACATTTTATTCAGTGAAATCATCGTGCAAGTAAAAGAAAAAATTCCCAACTTTGAACAGTTACGTGTACATGTACATGTAAATCAATAAAATTTTTCAATTTTTCCTTTACTTTGGCCACTAGAGGGCTCTCTATATAATTCCTGTGCTTGTGGATGCTGTTTATTTTGACAACCACCTCATTGAGAATGGTATAGCCCACAGTCAAAACAACTTTATTGGCTCATTTACAGATTGGCACTTATTCAATAACAAAGCAGTTGTATTCAAATAAGGTGACCTTACTAGCATGGACTATTTCATTATTCTGGTTCATTAGGGTAAAACCTGAATTGTTGGGGTATTTAACTACATGCATCTTATCGGAATGTTCATGTAATGTGGGAAAATTTATATTTAAAAGAAAGTAGAAAGACTTGTATTTGTAGTTTCTGTGTTGCACAGGAGTAATTTCCTTCCTTGGACATGTACACAGACCCTTACGTCCACTGTAGTTCAGGCTTCTTTGTACCACCCCTGCCATGTGTAAAATGGTTTTGCCCCAGTCAGCTTTGGACAAGTCTGAGCTTGCCCGGGCTGTGTGTAAAAATAAGTTAACAAAGCTCAGTCCTAAATAAACCCATGATTTAAGGTCAGTGGCATGTCAACCACAACATCATGAATATGAAATAATTTGCCAGGATCCTGATAATCTGATTGGCTGGAGCTTCTCTCTGTGATACAAATAAGGAAATTGCCTTGCTGAATATGGATTTCAAGGTCTGCCTTGGCTCATGTTTATGCAAGTCACCCAGGCCAGGAAAGTAGTTCGGGCAGACTGCCCTGCTCCTTGATGATGATGATACACGCTGGAATCAAAAAATAGGTATTTCATTTGGGACTTTACTAATAGAGGGAATGTCAACGGATAGCTACGACGTAAATCCTAGCATGCAGTGGCTATGCAACATTGGTCTAACGATGGTCAGAGAAACACAGGTAAACTCCATATTTTATCTGGTTGACTTTTTCGGGGAATGTGTAGATGTGTGTATCCCACACCTTTAATTTGATTTGTCTGAAGAAGGTATAAGATTAAATTGAAATTTTCTAGGAAGTTTGAAATGTAAAGTGTTGCAGTTCCCCATGGTATTATGTTACAATGTAGATTAAGCAATGGAATGCACCAATATCTAGACCAGGATAAATGTTAACCTGTGAGTTTGATATTGAAAAGTGAACAAGTGGTGAGATAAAAAAACGTGAACCAGGTAATGAAAGACACTAACGTCCCAAAGGTGTGTGTTTAGTTTGTAAGGAGAAGTGCTTTTTAATTCTTACGGTAGCTTTTGGTAGGTAATGAAAACAAGTTGTGTGTCATAGGACAGGAAGACAGATTAACTAGCCAATTATGAAGTCAGTGTACAGTACTTTGCATGTAATGTAATAGCATGCTATGTTGGGCTATGACACTGGATCCCTGTAGAATTTCTTCTTGTTCTTCCTTTCCCCCAAAATGTGTTGAAAAACGTGATTAAAATAGGCACTTGAATACAAGTGTAAGATTAAGGGTAATTTGAGTAGTTTCGGGGGGGTTGAAGAAAGTATGGTTGATTCAGTTACATTCAGTGAAATGGAAAAAAGGTTGGGGTAATCAGCTGTGTACACAAATGAGAGAGGGCGCTTTACTTTCTACATTGAACAACTTTCTTTCGAACTCAATGACGTCAGTGGCCAACAGTTGTACTTACATGTACATGTAGGTGGAAGATGCATCCAGTAAAAACATTTACTGAACTGATAAGTTTGCCGGGATTTGGGTTGCTGTACATGTACATGTGTGGTCTCTCTGTCTTGGATTTTTGACTAATTATGGAAATATAGGAACTGGCTTTCTATTCACTGATTGCAGGGCACCAGTAGTTGTTTACACCTAAAGTGAAATTGTTGAAAGTGGGAATACATGCGTGGGTACCATTGACTGTATAGAATCAAATTTGTTTGCTTCGAAGTCATTTTAAAATTTTCATTGTGGGATGAAATTCTGGTCTTCAACATCTGAAGTTTGTAAAAGAGAAGAATGAAAATCATCATGCATTCTCTCCAACTCCAAGAAGTATTTATAATTTGTGGTTGGATGGTCTCCTGTCTTCAGATCATGCAACAGATTGACATGGAAATTTTTTTTGCCATTTTCAGTTGAATTGACACTCATTAGGAAGTGCAAAGTAGTTATGTTGTGAGACATTCTCATCAAAATTACTCTAAGGAATTATATTAAATTTCTTCAAATGGAAACACTGATATTTTTATGGCATTGTAAATGACTCTGAATTTGTGTGTATGGGGAGCTGACATGTGTTTGGGAGTTCTCATTGTATGTGAAGCATTGCTGAAAAATAACTTTGCTCTTAGGCGTATCTCGTTATGAAGCCAGCAAATTAAATCTGAAGAATACCCGGTATGTGACAGAAGTGAATGTACAGTCATTTGTAAAAGTTTAGGGCCACCCATAGAAAATGTGTTAACCGGAAAGAAAACCAAACTTAAACCAATCAATCATGGCAATTTACATGTATGATTATTTTCATAACCTTGGTACCTTGGTTGAACATTTTTGACCACATTTCCATGATTTACATGTGAACAGTCTAATATTCAGTGTTCCTTCCTTTATTTCTGATTGCTTAGACTGGTTTTTTATTACCCATGCTGTCTTGCAAACAAAATGTCATACAAGACCTGCCTTTGTTAAAAATCTCATTCAAATGGGTATATAGCACTACACTTATGTTATGCACCACTGTAAAATCATGTTAAGTAATCATTCAGTGAGACAGTGTAATGCAGGCCCAGTGACAGAAACACCAATAAAACTTAAGGTGGTTTTAAACTTTTGCAAATGACTGTACATGATATGCTTTCTCTAAAGCATCCAATTTCAGAGTGTCTAACAAGGAAAAGAAGGCATACATGTAAGTCGATGGTCGAACCTTTGTTTTCTGCATTTGGGCATTCGTTTAAGTGAGAATAGTGCATTGTGGGTCGCTACGGTGAGATAATTTCTTTCAAACTCTCTTGGGCCAGAAAGCAAGCCAAAAAGAGGTATTTAATAATATGTTGCAATACTTGTTTGTGAACTGAGTACATGTACTGTAGGTTAGTAATGATTTTACAGTAAGTGAATATGTCTAAGAATTTGAGAAAGGAAATGCTGCTAAGGATATGGTTTACACATCCCATGATCATGGTACTGGGTTTATTTTGATTGTAAACTGGCTATGTGCTTCATTTATTGTTATCGTGTCAGCAAATATTTGGAAGAGAAATTGCTTGGTCACGTGTGAGTGTGTTGGGCAGTATGAACAACTTTTTGAAAAGTTCATTTTCATGAGGTCGTAAATAAAAACCAGTTGATCCAATTCATATTCAGCGTCCTTTTGACAGTTGAATGGACATGGACACACTGTACAGGTACAGCGCATGTACCAGTGTGTGTCTGTCATAAACAATGTTTGACTTTCGCTTCAGGGTTATCTTCCTCAGTTCAATGTTAATTACATAGAATTACATTGTTGAACTGAAATTGTCAACAGATGAAAGCTGACCTGAGAAATATCAACTAACCTTTTTATATAATATGGAATTTCTCTATCAATGCAAGATTTAAAAAGTCCATTGATTTTGCTAGATGAGATATATGTATTTACCTGCATAAATGTATGTTTATGTACCGGTATTTTTGTCTCATGTCCAGCATGAGGCACTCACCTTGTGACAGTGACCATGCTTTCATTGTGATGGGTCATGTGTTTGATACAGTATCTCTGTGACATTGGTTTCAGTATTCAGGTTTTAGGCCCATGTGATGGAATAGTCATGTACCGGTAGTGTAAGCACACAGCACCAAACAGAAAAGAATATACATGTACGTGTACATGTATATTCTTTTTATATTATTTTTCCTTTTCTTTTTATCTTTTATATGTTTTTTATTACTCTGGAAAAAAATTCGGGTGGGTAGGTGGTAAGATTCTTTTATTTTTCTCTTTATTTGTTTTGCCAAAAGGATGGGAGTACTAAATATCTTTTTGTGAACCATAATTTGTTACAGACTCGGTGAAAATGTAAGATTTAATACTGTGCATGTTGATACCATATATACCTACATTACGTGTAGGTATTGGCACTGTAGAGTACCAAAAGTGAATATGTCATGCTCAAAAAGGCATAAGCGCATGAACCAGTGGGTGAACCGACGCGCATGCGCACTCCATTCGTTTGCACAGTAACTGTGGTTCAAAATGACATCACACCTACATATATACGTGTAGCTGTAGGTACTCCATAGGCCTGAGTGGTTGAACTTCACATGTCTAAATTTACAAAGCAGATGTTTGTGAGAACATAAAGTCTTCTTTTGTACCCTGAGTATTTGCATCATCTTCATAACGATGGGGTGGGGGGTGCGAAGGAAAGTACAGTAGCTAGGATTGGTTCTGAGCTGAGAGGTCTTCCGTTGATATGGTGTTCTCCCTGAGACAACTCCAAGAGAAGTGCAGGGAACAGAAAAAGGACTTGTACATCGCCTTCTTCGATCTTACGAAGGCCTTCGACCTCGTCAGCAGGGATGGACTCTTCAAGATCTTAGCAAAGATTGGCTGCCCTCTTACCCTGCTCAGTCTGATCACAGAGGTGCCTCTTTTCCGGTTTTAGCCGGAATTCCTTTTTTTTTTGTAAAACAGAAAAACGTCTGTATTTTCCATTAAAAAGGGCAAGTACTGAGTGATTATTCTCCCCCCAAAATGAAAATGGGAATGAAGGGAAAGGGAAATGAAACATGAAGAAATAAGTTAAATTTTACCCTTGAGTCTATATTTACGGCACCGCCTTGCAGCGTAATGTGGTCTTCAAAACAAGGCTCACTCGTGACTTACCGCACCTGCATACATGTACAGCAAGTCGCATTGTGTATGGGTGTGTTGTGTGCTGAGCACACAATTCACGTACAGCCTTGAATTAAGACAGTTTACTCGGCTGCAGGAAAAGCACGGCAATGGCGACTTTGTTTTAGAGACGAAGGCCAAGCCACCAACGGACAGACCCACCTCAGCCTTCATCAGTGCTTGCTGCGGCTGGGACTGTCATTCTCGCATTGGACTTTTCAGCCACAGCAGATGCTGCTCCCAGATGGACATCCAGGACAGAACCTCCATAATCCCCCCTGGATTGGTGGAGGACTACTACTATAGGAAACCAGGCAAAATTTACCAATGTTGAAGACACAGCCATATGTAAAACAGTCTTCCAGTTTCATGTCTTCCAGCTACTGCACCACGCTTGCAATAACCAGTGTTGTTTGGTACCCAGACACAAGGGTATTTTACAGTGCATTTGTGTAGCATTTTCCTTTGTGTGGAAGGGTGCCTAACAAAATTTACAGCACGCTATACCGGGTACATACTGGAGCGGTAACTCGGATTCAATGTTTGTTACGGGGGCTGAGTGGTGAGTGGGACTCGGATTTGATGTTTGAAGTCGGCTCTTTGAATGTGGAACTGCCAATGGTTGGTACCTGGTTCTTCACAAAAGCAGAGCCGCGGATTCTGATTCCAAATTTATTTTTTTTTGAACTGCAGTTCCAATTGGAACCGGAAGTGCCGCACAAGCCTACCCAGCAGTTGCAATAAAATTCATTAAACTTGCAATTACAAACAATTGGGAAAAATATATTCAAGAGTGTAAAAAAAATACTCAAAATTAAACATCAAAACAGTGGGGTACATTAAAGCACACTACTGACAAGCATTTACATGTAACAAACATCAAAAATTAAAAACAAAATAAAGACAGCGGCAACAAGAGCACTCGTAATACATGAACATGCATTAAAAGGCAGGGCTGTACGCATGGTTTTTATATTGACTAAAGTAGCAAGCAGAAGATATACATGTATATGAAAGTAGTAGGAAGGGCATTGGGTGTGTGGGCTTCATGAACCACAAATTTGATAAAACCATATTTGTGTGTACTAAATGAAGGAACCAGTGCTCAAAACGAAAGCATCTTTGAAGACTTCAGTTTGCAAATAGGCATGAGTTATTGGGGCACTCTCTAATGTACATGTACATGTAAATGTAATGTGATACCAGTAGGGAAAAAGAAATGAAAGAGTCTGTGGTAATGGCATGTTATTGATACACAGTCCAAGAAAAATTGTATTTTTGTAGACCTGTAGACTCTTGTTGGTGGTTTATTACTCGTAGATGTACATGTAACTCAAGTGTGTAAGTATGTGTCATTTGTATTGGGTGTACTGCTGTTGTTCTGGGTAGATGTTTTCTGTAGTTGTACCAAAATTTATACAACTTCAACTTAATCAGTAAACTGTGCCTAGAGCTACATGTACTCTCCATGAGCACAGAATCATTATGTCGTAGTTGTTGAATCTTGTTCAGGTTGGTGGGTACAGTTTCTGAGATGTCCAAAAGTTAACTTTGTTGGAAATTTTCGCTGGCAATATGCAGCTGGCAATATGCAAACAATACTTTTATCGAGGTATGAATACCCAATAGTGAAAGTGTCTGCGTACTTACCGAGTGGTATGGCTGGAAAAGTTGCCTTGCTTGAAACATGGATCCTTTGCTGGGTAAATTGTGGTGATTCATGCTGCCCTCAGCGTGTTAATGTACACATAGTACTTCCATGAAGAATTCAAACAGATGAAATTATGCACTGTAACTAAAAATGTTTCTTCAGATCTAACTGACAAAGTGTTTTTTGTTTGTTTTGCAGACCCAGTCCTTCCAGCCCAATATGTTGCCAGACAATGCTGCTCCAGGACCTCCATTATCCGAGTATTCCACTGATACAACCACCACTACCCCACCTCCAACTAGTGCTGCATCTCAAGCCTTGCCTAGCAAGTAAGTGACGAGTACAATGTTGTTGAGATCCTTCTGATTGGAACTTGAGAACCAGCAGTTTCAGTTTCAAAGACAGTATATACATGTTCATCATTATTCATCAGTTCATAATGTCTGGGTTTGTTATACAATTTGACATTCTTGGGTAGAATTAGCGGGAGAAATGATATTAGTTTACCACATCAGAACTCTCAGAGTTTTCACAGGCTGACCTTTTGTGAGTTTTGGGGAGGCTCAGACAGTCAGTTTTCCATAAATGTTAATTTATAAGATGAAAGAGAAAATGGTGAATGGGAATTGGCATGAAAACACGCAACTACATGTACTAGTAGGAGTCATGGCTACTTACATGTAGGAATTAACATGCAAATAAGAATCAGTGCAGACCTCTGTTACAATTTCCTTAACCGGCCTTAGTCGTTTTAGCTGTGGAGAGAAATCAGTTGACTTCGAGCAATATTGTTCAAGTTGCTTCATGTAATGATAAATTCAAAAAATAAAGCCCTCAGATATTTTACTGTAAAATAAGTTGATAGAGCACATTTTACA